GAAGACAGGATTCTGAAAAGCAGAAATGAGAGAGAAGCAAGCATGAGGAATGGGCCTCTTATAAGGTACTGACGCTGAAGATTCACCTGGGAAACAAGTTTTAGTGTAGTTTGACTGAAATATCTATGTGTGAAATAAGGCAGAAGTCAGGAGGAGTCACGCTGGGGAGAGGCAGAAGGTGCCATAAGTGGCAGGCTAAGGATTTTACCCTAGAGGCAATAAGGAGCCACTTAGTTTTTGTTTTGTTTTTTTAAACAGGCTAAGTGACAAGGTGAAAATTCTTTGCTTGGCAGGTATTTGGTGGATGGAATTAAAAGTGTGATAACGGAGACCAATTAGGACAGTGTTACACAATAGTATGGTGCACTAGATTTGGAGTCGTCAGACCTTTATTCATTTCCTGGTTCTACTGTTTACTAAGCTATTTAACCTTAGGATTTCACTCTTAGGCTCAATTTCCTCATCTGTAAAAAATAGCATGTGACTAGATCTCTATTATCTCTTCCAGGTCTAAAGCTCTGACATACTGTGTGATAATAACTGTGAAGTTTTTGGTTGTCATGATCACCATTAGAATCTGAAGCTGGCATTGGTCAGTTGTTAGAATCACAGTAATGGGGGAGGTCTTCCCAAAGTTCAGTCACGATAGGAAGCAGGTGAAGCAAAGTTGAGCCTCTTGCTTGCTAGAATGGACGAAGCCCTCCCCCCTACATACCTCATCCAATATGGGGGCAGGTGGCCAAAGGAATCCTGTCCTTTGCCTCTTGTGAAGGAGGGATGGTTCCCCTCAACTTTCAGGTGGGAAAAGAGGAGGCAGGGATTATCTTTGCGGCTCTGGTTCATCTGAGATTGAGAAGCTGGAATGAGTGAAATCCCCTGAACTTGAGCGGGGAGTAGATAATAACTGCTCTGACCTGGTGGTGATGGTGATGGTGGCGTAATGGTGGTAAGACCTGGTGTAATAGGGGCTACTCTCCTTGGTTCAGGCCTGGCAGGGGAGCTGGAAGCATTCTGTAGGCTCTGGTGAGAAGAGAGGCAGAATGGGAAAAGAGGAGAATGAGAACTTCCTAACCAGTTGTAAAGAGATTGAATGTGGCACCCTTAAGGGGGTCATAGAGGTTTGATTAACCTCAAAATGGTCAAGGGACAGCATACAGGGTAGAAAGCCTGCATAGCTCCTGACCTGGTTTTGAAATCTATGTAGTACTTACTAGCAGCATGACTATGGACTAGTCATTAAATCCATTTTTCCATCTGTAAGATGGAAAAAATACTGGCTCTACCTAACTTCAGTTGGAGACTTCCACTTGGCAATCACTGATGCTTTTCAAACCTTAAAGCTCTCTATAAATGTAGGTTGTCAAATGTCAGCTATTATTCTACAGGATCTGTCAAGCATATAATTTGAAAGACTAATAAGGTGGGTTGCCCATCTGGGGAAAAAAACTCTACTTTGGCAATACGCATTTTTACTCCAGTTTGTAAATACCTTCCCAAACCTATTCCTACAGTATATCAGGAGTCACTATGAGCAAAACACTTTGCAAATATTAACGTGTCTTAAGTTATTAAACACCAACATTTTATAAATAGTGCTATTTCTAGAATCTCTATCCTGTTTATTGATCAATTTTTTGTTTTGTAGAATACCAAATATAGGCATACCTCATTTTATTGTGCTTCACAGATTTTTTTTAAACACACTGAAGGTTTGTGGCAATCCTACATCAAGTATATCTATCAGGGTCATTTTTCCAATAGTACGCGTCACATCTTGTCTGTCATATTTTGATAATTTTGACAATATTTCAAACTTTTTCATTGTATGTTACAGTGATCTGTGATCAGTGATCTTTGACGTTACTATTGTAATTGCTTTGGGGCACCACAAACCATGCCCTTATACTACCGACTGATGGATAAATGTGTCTTGTATGTCCTGACTGCTCTACCAACTGGCCCACCTGGCTGTTCCCTTCTCTTCCTCTCCTGTTCCCTGAAGCACAATATTGAAATAAGGCCAACTAATAACCCTACAATAGCCTTTTAAGTGTTCAAGTAAATGAAGAGTAAATGGAATCTCAAACTTCATCGACTTATTTTTAAAAGTTGCCACAGCTATCCAACCTTCAGCAACCACTACCACCCTGAGTAGTCAGCAGACATCAGCAACACTGAGGCAAGACTCCCTTCAACACAAACATTATCACTTATTGAAGGCTCAAATGGTGGTCAGAATTTTTTTTTTTAGCAATGAAGTATTAAGGCATGTACATTTTTTAGACATTATTGTGGACTTAATAGACTTAATAAACATAACTTTTACATGCACTGGGAAACCAAAAACTTCACACGACTCGATTTATTGCAATATTCACTTTATTGAATCATATTATCATATTTCTATATGATTATCACTTTATTGGTCTGGAACTGATGAACCTGCAATATTCTCCAACGTATGCCTGTCGTTTTTGACAATCATTGCTTGATTAATTTCTAGGTTTAGTGGTTCAAGCACTATTTTATCTGCTTATGTGAAAGTACTCCTTGATATTCTAATTTTTTTTTTAGGCAATTGTATAGCAGACTTCTGAGATATAGATAACTTCTACGAAGTTATCTCCGGTGAGGCTGAAAAGAGTGAAAAAGAGAAAGAAGGAGAGGGACAGAGGAGGAGAGACAGGGAGAGGGCGACAGAAAGAGAGAGAGAGAGAGAGAGAGAGAGAGAGAGAGAGAGAGAGAGAGAGAGAGAGAGAGAGAGAGAGAGAGAGAGAGAGAGAGAAAATAATGCGGACCAGGGGGTAGCAAGTTATGAACAAGCTCCGTTTATTGATCTAAGAGTTAGGGCTTTTATACCCCATTCGCGGGAACAGAATCCAGAGTGGAAAAAACCAAGTATCAACAATTAATTTTTCTCATGGTAACAGTAACTGGGGGGAGTATCCTCCTGGAGTCGTCTCCTCGCTTCCCGATTATCTTTCAAGGTTTATTGAAAAATCCTTCATCCTCTCAAGGGACACACAGCGCCTAGAAGAGGTTAGAGAGCCTACATTCTGACCTAGACAGCTCTAGAAGAGGTTAGAGAGCCTACATTCTGACCTAGACAGCTCTGAGATAATGGACAGGAACAGGAACATCCCGACATGACCTATATCCTCAAACCCATCAGTGCAAGCCCTCAACAATCGGGATTAAGTGAGTTGCCCAGGGTCACACAGCTAGTAAGTGTCAAGTGTTTGGTCTGAGGCTGGATTTGAACTAGGATACCCCTAACTTCAGGGTTGGTGCACTATCCACTGTGCCACCTAGCTGCCCTTAAATCATTTGTTCTTCAATATAAAGTTGGTTGTCATTTTACCTACTTCTATAAAGTAGCCTCACTGGCAATGATTGGTATTTAATTGCATTTTATAAATCAATTTGGGCATTATTATAAGTTTTGCCACTTTCAAATATCATTATGACATATAGCTGTGTAATCAAAACTATTACTATGACATATACAGTTGTGTAAATATAATATTTCCTCAAAAACTTCCCTAATTTTAAATTCATTGTTATCTTTTATTTTGGAAATATGTTCCTTCTTGTTATTAACTAAGAGTTTATCAATTTTAGTAGTCTTTATGAAAAAAACAATTCTTGTTTTTAAAAATTTATCACACTGAAGATCAAAATGAAGAGTCTGTTCTTCATGGGGTACAATAATGAAAACAATTTCTGAAGACTCAAAATTACATGTCATCCAAAAGACAATGAAGAAATACCTGTTTACAGAATATTACAATGAAGAACTGAACATAAGTGTAAAAGATCTTACTGGAGGTGTGTGACTGCAAATGGACAAAAGAAAAAGACTAATGGACAAGACCACTTATGGCTTTGTTACCTATATAATATTGAGACCTAGAAGGCCCAAAACTCATTCCAAGTCTCTCCTTAGCAAGATTAGTGAGAGGACAAGGACAATGTTTTTGTTTTTGTCTTTTTTCTGTTCCACAGAATGAGAAAGCACAGATAGGAATTCTTAAGCTACATTAAAGAAGTAATGGAATCACAGATCCATTTTTTTCTGATTGCTCTTCTAAAATAAAACCTTCTCTCTTATTTTTCTCTATTAACCTTTTAAAATGTCTTTAAAAGTTTTATTTTTAAATTTTTATTATTAATATAGGCATTTAATGCCATAAATCTCTATCACTGTCATCTTATAGGTTGTTGTATTTGTGCTCTATTTTTCTTTTTTCTTCTTTGAATCAACTAATCCTCTTATTCTACATGTAGCCTTCTATAAATGTTCCTATTTTATTTTGGTCTGAAAACACAGTATATAGAATTCAGTTTTTCAGATTTCCTTGAGCCTTCTCTGTGAGAAAGTACAATTTTGCAAGTTACTATATACTTGAAAAATGTGCACTTTAATTTTTTCCATGTTTTTTCTAACATCTTCATGTTAGAATTCGGCAAACCATTCAGTCTGATTTTACAATTTACCAGTTTCCCTTGATCTACCATAAATAACCTAATAATGTAATTTTAAAACTGTTGTTAAAATTATCAGGAAATACGTGATAGAGGTATGACTTCTACTTATTCTCCTAAATATTGTTTTTAACCTGTTATGTTGTTTGCTATTACTTTTACCATTAACTAACAGTCTTATCTCCCTTAAAGTTAAATCCAAACAGTGAAAACATTAACTGATTTAATCTTTTCATTAGCTACTCTTTATCTTCTGCTTGCCCAAAGCATGATAAATATTATCTTTCCTATGGTGTTATCTTCCCAATATATCTTTTTGGATTATGTGTCTCCTATAGAAAGGTAGTGTTACAATAATTAAGATTTTCTTATCCTTTCTCTTACCTTTCAACTTAGTCAAAGATAGAAGGCTCCATTACGGAAATAATCTGCTCTTTTCCACATTCTCTTCTAAAATGTCATCTATTTTTATCATCAAAACTAATATTACATAAGAAACAATCTTACCAGACTAGTAAGGAGAAACCTTATATTTTATTAGGAGTATTCCAAACACAGTAGTTTAATTAATGCTTTATGTTAAATTTTACATTTAAGAAACTGTAAACTTTTTTTTATAATCAAAACTATCCTTAACAACACAATTTAGGAACTCTTTGCTGAATATCTTAACTACTTATCCACCCAAGGGAGTCCTGGTTTCCCCTCTTCTCAAAAAGTCCTTTATAGTTGTAGTCTTTTGTCAAGGAATTCTTTGAAGGCTGAATTTTTAAACATCATTCTTCTGCCTTCAAAAAGAATGTGTAGGTTTGCTGCAAGTCTGACTCTAGAATCCAAGTCCTTATCTTTTAGTTTTCCATTCTGTGTCAACATCACTATTTTTCCATAGTTTTAACTACAAAGTATGACAAAATGTAGATCAGTGTTTTCTGATATGATTTCTTCTTCTCAAGGCTTAGAAGATTCTGACTTGGATTTTAAAGTCTGATGAGAATGTGCCTTACACTTGGATTTCAGGTTTCCTTCTTGTTGGGAGTGAATTATTTTTCTTATTTCAGGATGTCAATTAGGGAAAATTCTCTTGAATTATTTCCTCAGCTTAACAAGATTCAGATTCCTTTCCCTTTCAATACCCTCAGATATGCCAATTATTCTGAGGCTTGCTTCTTTGCAGCTATCTTCAAGGTTGGTCACTTTTTCTTGCACTTTTACCAACTGGTTTTCTAGTTGTGTTACATTACGAACTTGTTCTTCCATTTTCTTTCCCCTGTCTATTTTTTGCTGTACTAGACCACTTCTCATTTCTGCTGTTTCCAGCAACATTTTATCCATGAGGATGTTCATTTCTGTATAATTTCTCTTTATTTTCTTACAACTTTCTTTGACTGAAATCACATCTTTCTTTACATCCTTTAGAGTACCTAGTATCCAAACTAGTTTTCTTAGAATATCTTGGGTTGCTTTTGGCTTTGTTTCTACAGATATAAGACACATTTTGAACTGATAATAAAGTCGAAATTGAACTCAGTAATCAGTATTTTCACAGATGTTTTGTGCTGCCTTGAGGTGGTAGTTTCACTGTAACAGGATGATCACCTAATGAACACAATTAAGAAAACTCAGAAATTCCTTTTTAAAAGCATTAACTATAATCTTAAAAGCCTAGGGCGAAAGGTAATTTGTTAGGGTTAATCTTTCAGATTCAGGATCTCAGAAGACAATATCTGTAAAGCACTCAGCACAGTGCCCAGCACATAGGGTTGGGGGCTAACTAAGCATTTATTAAGAACCTAACTCTGTGAGATGAGTGCTACTGATCCTCATTTTGCTATTAATAATATTAACAAACTCAAACTACTCCTGGCAGATTAGTCAGTACCTCAAAAACTTACATTCTCTCTAATCCTAGCAAAATTATTTCCTCTACTTAATGTCCCCTCGTGCTGCAACTTCCATTCAATTAGACCTTTCCCTGTATCTTATCGTGGATAACAATACAACTCGAAACAATTATGGAGGCCATTTTCCCCTCTCCCCATTTTCAAAGTGCAGGGAAAAACTTCGCCTGGTAAGACGTTACACCCGGGGCTGCGGCCGAGACATAACCAACCAAGTCACTATGAGGCCCACGGGTATCTTACACACGCTTTGCGGACCCCGTTCCTATTTGAGTTTGACCGAGGCCCTCGATTACCTCTGCGATCCATTCCAGGGCTACCTTTGAGGGGCTCTTCTCCCTCTCCCGGCCGAAGCCCACAAGGCCTCGGCGGCCCCTCAGGCCGGAGGTCCTCTCAGGCTGCAGCGGGCCCCTTTCACCAGGCCAGGGTCAGGAGTCAAACTAGACAGCGGGGACTGCGGCCCTTTGTTCCTCCCTTACCTGCCCTCCTCCCCAGAGTCCCTGCGTGGTCACCTCGCCAACATAGGCACGCACCGCCTCGGCTAGAAAAAAGCTACATCAGGGCCGCCCAAACCTCGCGCACGCGCGGAAGTAAGCCGCCCCAACCGTCTCTGGCACGCCTCGCGACTGCGCTACTGCGCAGTTTGCCCACGGGCTGTTCCCTCCAGTCGGCGCATCACCAGAAGTCTCGGCGCACTTCTCGTCCCCGGAGATGCCGCGAGAGCAGAAGGAACGGGAGGAGAAAGAGGAGGGGGGAGGAGTGAGGAAGAGCCGGATGTTTAGTAGTTGGTGACGGAAGAGCGGAAGGCGCGAGGCACCTTCCGCTGCTTCCTGGCTCTCGGCGCTTTGTCTGTGAGCCACCCCCCACCCACGCTGTTTGTCGCGCCTGCGCAGAATCTACTATCTCTTTGGCCGGTAGTTCTTTGCCCTAGACAAAGAGGGCAACGTGGTTGTATCCGTTATGTTAAGATTCCCAGATTTAGCGCTAGGATTCCGACCCCTGCATATTAGAGAAGAGGAAGCCGAGACCTAGAGACATGAAGTAACTGACCAAGCCACACAGATAATAAATGATTATTTTGGTTTGAATCCAGGTCCTCTGACCCCAAATCTGTCTGAGTGAGACAATGTAAATAGTGTGAGATCTCTCAGATGGACTGAGTGTAACAGTTTTGTAGACTGTTAGAAACTCAAGGTTGGTTAGCTAGCCTGAATAGGCCCAAGTTTCAAGTTCCTGGAAAAACACATGATCTGTACTGTTACATTAGTATTAGGTAATGGCTAATGCTAAATAAGGATAAAATAGCTAGGTTTGGTAGTATTATAATGAGATTCCTTGTTTCTGGGGTAGATTTTCGCGTTTTAGATTATAAGGCTGAAATTCCTGTCCAATGGGAATTTAGAGCCAGTGGTGGGTGGGTGTCTCTGCATTAGGACTATATAACCTTTGCTCTGACCTTTGTGCCTCCCCTCGATTGGCTTGGACTGCCGGACGGAAGCAGACGCCCACTCCTCCCTAGAATGTAATAAATCTTTCACTTTATACCTAGAAAATCTCTGAGTGTTATTTTTGGGTAACTGTAGCACACACGTCCATCCTTTGACAAGGGTCTGGGGAGCCCACCCCCCAGACAGAGAGGGAGGTGATGGACTCAGGCTACATAGTGGCTATGGCCAATGCTGGATTTGTTTCGCTGGACTATTATACATATCTGTTAGAAACATTAGGGTTTGTTGCTGGGGGGTTTCCCCCCCAATGAGGTAGAGAGAAGGTGGGTTTGTGTTATTTGGAAAAAAAAATTTTTTTTTAGTATTTTAAAGAAGGAGGAAAAAAAGACGGGGGTGGGGGATTTAGTGGACCTCCAATTCAGACAGCTTTAGGCTTCATTAACAAAGGCGTAGAATCCAAGACCAATCTTGCCACTGCTCAGACCCTATCTGGAGTATTCTGCTCAGTTCAGGCACCCTATTTTAGGAAGGTCATAGAAAAGAACACAGAAGAGGGTCATCAGTTTGATGAAGGACCTGGAGGCCATGTCTCATGAGGATTAGTTGAACGGACTGCAGTAGTTTGTCCTGAAAAAGAGACTTCCAGAATGTGATGGCTATCTACCATGTATCTGAAGGACTGTCATATGAAAAAGTGGTTTTGCTTGTTCTCCTTGGGCCCAGAGAGCGGTACTGTGAACAATGTAGTTGCAGAGAAAAAGATTTAGACTTAATAGAAGGAAAGCATGGTAGAGATGCGTGGAATACAACAGTCTCCCCCCTCCCCTAAATTAAAGATGGATATATTACATTGAAAAAGCACAGGGAGGGTGGTAGAGTGAATAGGATGCAACAGGTAACCAATGAAAAACTTCGAAGAAATCCAGGAGTAAATGTTAGCAAAGGAATGTATGACAGGAAGGGAAGATGGACTGATCATGTGGTAATGTCAAGAAGTGACAGGTGGACCACTTCACTAGTACCCTCAAAATGTCAGGAGAAATCGAGGAAGGGCTCCAGCCCTTGCCTATGGCAAACTTACCCAACTTTGTGATTCTGTGGAAAGTGTCATCATGCCTTGGCAACAACATGGGGATGTTTCCAATGTGCTATACAAACACCTTCTGACCCTGTCTCCAAATATAGGGCACAGTGAATTCGGCATCTCAATCCTCACGATGCTTATGACCATGACTTCGTTTAGTTTAGGGACTTTTTGTCCCATTCAGCTGTGGAGATATTTAGTACCTTCTGCATTGTGAACAATACCCATCTGTGATTTCTGAGGAGCTTATTACATTTCACTCCAAAAAGATGTCTGATCTGCTTTTCCCACCTTAGAGGAAGACAGAAGAAGTAATATTCAAGCCAGTCTAATTCACCCATGAACTCCATCCAGTTCACACCTGGACAATGGCAGGAAAATTACAGGGCATCTGAGATTGAAAGGCAAAACATTTATTTTGTTTTAGAAGTTATAATGAAGTAATGACTAGGGGAAGCCAAAGTAGACTCCAGGGTATGTTCCACAAAAAACCCCCAAGATTTTACAAGCTGGGACTTAGAAAAAAAGGGAGAAAAACAGTTGGAAAGCCTCATTTTTTTTCTTCTTAGAGCCAAGTGCTGATATTCAAGTCAAGATCCGAATTGTCTTTGGGCCAAATGTGCGTTGGTCCAATGTTTTCATTGTTCTTGCTACTCGACCACCTCTAGTATTGTTTCCCACAGATGTGGGGGCTGGGAAGGAAGGGAAAGTGTTAACCCAGAGCTTTCCTGATTGGGGGAAAAGGAAAGCCTCTATGCTAACTGACCTCAGTGGAATGAAGGGGGAATGGGGCAGGGCAGGTACTTTCTCCTTGACTTCTGAAGAATGGTACAACCTTCCTATTAATATTCTTTGAGTTAAAGTCTCCCAATAGTTTTTTTTAAAGAACTTGATTTTTCCCATTTAAAAAATATTTTTTGTTTTTATATCATCTTAATTTCTAAATAACTCTCACCCTTCTCCTAACCAATGAACTATTCCTTGTAAGAGCTAATAATACTAGCTAACAATTTTATAGCATTTACTATGTGTTACACACTATGTCAAGCACTTCACAAATATCTCATTTGATTCTCACAACAATTCTGTGAGGTATTCTTACTGTCCTCATTTTACATTTGAGGAAACTGAGGAAAACAGAGGCTAACTGACTTGCCCAAGGTTACAAAGCTAGTGAATGTCTGAGGCAGACTTTAAATTTTGAACTTCAAGCCCAGTACTCAATTCTCTGTCAGCAAAATAAAAAAGAGGGGGAATAGTTTTCATCAAAATTAACCAACTTATCAACTGAATCTGACAGTATGTGTAGTGATCCACAGAAATAGTTCCCCACTTCTGCAAAGAAAGGAGTGGGTTTTTTTTCTACACCTGGGTCAAGTTTAATCATTATTGTTTTACACAATATTCTGTTTCATTTTTATGTGCTTTTTACTTACAATGCTGTAGTAATTATGTGTAGTTTTTTCTGGTTGTGCTAACTTCCCCCCACATTGGTTCATTTATTTTCACATGATTCTTGAATTCCTTATATCCTTTTCTTTCTTTCTTTCTTTCTTTCTTTCTTTCTTTCTTTCTTTCTTTCTTTCTTTCTTTCTTTCTTTCTTTCTTTCTGTCTGTCTGTCTGTCTGTCTTTCTTTCTTGGCAATGGGGTTAAGTGACTTGCCCAGGGTCACACAGCTAGTGAGTTTTTTGTTTCTGAGGTCGCATTTGAACTCAGGTCCCCCTGACTCCAGGGCTGGTGCTCTATTCACTGCGCCACCTAGCTGCCCCATTATCCATTACTTCCTACAGAATAGTAATATGATGTTATATTTGTGTGCTACAGTTTACTTAAACGATCCCTAATTATCTCTTTTCTTTCCAATTCTTTATTACCACAGGAAGGCTACTATGCATTACAGCCTTTCCCTCTGTCCTGCCAAGGACTTATGTGTAGAGGGCCGGCTTTGGGGAGTTGGAGGTCTTAGGCCAGCCTGGGTCTTACCTGCAGCTTGTACTAAGCCTGACAGCTGTGAAACTCAGGATGTCGGCTCACCATCCCCTGTTCCGTCTCTTGAGAACAGGATGCAGGAAGGGAGGAAACGGATGGGGTACAGGACAGGACGCAGGACAGAATGTAACAGACAAGGTACAAGGAGGTAAGGAAATCACTTAATTAGATTTGTACTTTTCATGAATAATAATGTTACTATTGCTTGATGCAGTACTATATAAGCCTGAGCCCTCAGATCCATAAACAGAGTTTATTCTTCACTGCTCTCACCTGGCCCGTGATTCTTTCTCTCTTCACACTCTGCCGGCATCAGACCACAGCCGGGGACGCAGACACTCCTGGCACTTATGGGCCTTGCTGTCTCCTCTGTTACTAAACCCTCCTGTATGTATTGTCTTTCCTAATAGAATGTAAGCTCCTTGAGGTTGGAGAGAGACTATTTTGATTTTATATTTGTATCTCCAATGCTTGGCACGTACTCATAGTACTTAAAATGTTTTACAATTCATTTATTTAAATCTTTTTCTATCTTTGACTCCCTTGGGGTTTAGGCCAAATAGTAAGAGTTCTGGATGAAAGCAAATGAACACTTTAGCCACTTTTTAAAAGCATAATTCTAAATTGCCTTCTGGAGTGGTTAACACAATTCATATCCCCATATTTTTAACTTTGGACCTCTGACTTTTGTCTTAACAGAAAAAGAAAAGTACTAAAATTGGAAGATCCGAGAAAAGATAAAATCATAGTGTCTTTTCTTTTTTTCTTTCTTTTTTTTTCCCAGGCAATTGGGGTTAAGTGACTTGCCCAGGGTCACATAGCTAGTAAGTGTCAAGTGTTTGGTCTGAGGCTGCATTTGAACTCAGGTCCTTCTGACTTCAGGGCCAGTGCTCTATCCACTGTGCCACCTGGCTGCCCCTGATAGTGTCTTTTCTATGACACTTATTCCTCAGACATTCTCTGAGTTTCCCAATAAACAAGAGATAGAGAGAGCAAAGTTAGGTGTGAAATGGATAATTTTGATTATATTAAATTAAAAAGGTTCTATACAAATAAAACAAATGTTGCCAAGATTGGAAGGAAAGCAGAAAATTGGGGGAGAAATTTGTAGACTGTTTCTCAGATAAATGTCTCATATCTCAAGTATATAAAGAACTCTGTCAAATCTAAAAGAATATGAATCATTTCCTAATTGATAAATGTGTCAAAGGATATGAATAGGCAGTTTTCCAATGAAGAAATCAAA